TGTTGACTTGTTCTTTGGAATTATTGACAGCAGTTCTCTTAGGATACAAGCTTAACTAACCAAGTTGGCTGAGAGCTGGTTGCACTGATATTAGGCCAGCTGAGGCTTTGCTGAATCCAAATGCTTCCTAGCCTAGGGAATGTTAGGAATGAATTAGGGCTGCTCTGACCCTGGACTGGGTTTGTGCCAACATAGTGAGTCTGGAGGGAGAGTAGTTCGAATCTGGCATTACTTCCTCCCTTCTTGCACTCCGCTGCTTCTTCACCCCTTTCCTTCTAGTTGATCTCAGTCTGCACAGCACCTGTACTGGCAGACTGACTTGTGCTGGCAGATTTGAGATCAGTTAGAAGAAGGGGGTATCTGTTGCAAAATTTCTATGAATTTCTGATGAAGTAAGTGCATCAATTGATAGGACTGTGTTAACTGTAAATTAAAATAGCACAAGTAGTAAAAATAGTGAAAGAATGCCATATGCCTTTCCTCCCTTTAATAAAATCCATGACTGAAAAATGCACCGTTGTTGTGTTTAATAGAATGAATGGTTTAAAAAAATAATTGCTGATTTTTTTAATGAGTTAGAGGTGACGGGGTCAAGCACGCATCATTGCACTTTGCCATTAGGTATGTGAACACAACATAAAGTAATTCAGTCATTTCACTTTAAATGTGGAGGCAGTAACAGGAGCAGCCTGTATACTGTCATAGACAGGTGTTCTTTTACAAGTAAGAGTAAGTCCAGCTGTAGAGATTTCAGTGCTTTGCAGGCCCAGGCAATGACTGGAGCAGGAACAGGCATTAGAGGGTTCCTTTTTGCTCTGTGAGGATCTTATAACAGATGATCCTGACCTTTCTCTTTTAGAATAAACTGGAGAGAAAAACATTCAGGTGAAAATTCTATTCTCAGTTTACTCTGGAGTAATGAAAACAATTGACTAAATTCTGTTGGCATATGTTGTGTTGTACAACTCCAGTGAGGCCATCAGCTGCAGCCAGTGTACACCGGCATGCTGCCTCATCTCATTCATTCTGGCTTATGCTGGGGCAGACTTTGTGTCTCTGTTTGACTTTCACTGTACTTTTCACCTCTGCCCTCTTAGCTTACCTTTGTTAATTTAAACAAGCTCATTTAAAATGGAGACATTCTAGTAATCTAGTCTAATCAAGTCCTTAGAAAGTTAATGTGGCAAAACTGAAGCATCCCCATTTATTCCATGCTTAGATTAAATAAATAAATGTATTTGAGTTCTTATAGTTCTGTGTGATGTGTTTTCCAGTTTATTGTAATTTTTAGACCATGTGTAAATTGCAGTTTACTTTATTGGATAAATGGGTTAAATGACAAGTAGGACTGTTAATGTCAGTTGCAAGGGGAGAATAAAATTCCTCCATAGAATCTTTCCCCCTCACTGGCTGTCTTCCTCAGTCCAAGGGAGAGGGAGTAGAGTATATATAATGGGTGAATTTTGAAGAGAGTTAGCAAGTGAGAGAAACTGTAGAATAGTGTGACAGTGAGATGGGCAGATTGGCTAATAGTGTTAGGATTTGATAGGTTAATATGTAGGTTGACCTGTTAGTATTCAGCTAATGTTAGATAAAAGGCTGCTTTTATTGTTTGTCATTCCAAGTCTTTATGATTCTATTTTTAATAGAGTAAAACAATTTTATTGTATATTAAATATCTCATGATTTTCTGGTGGCACTAATCACATAAACGCTCATGTTGGCTGTGTGGCCAGAGCTCAAACAAAAGGAAAAAGAAAAGAAAAAACAACAAAATATTTTCAAAGGTTTCTGATTGAGGACTAGATGATGGCAGTATGACTCAGGAGTCTGAGTTGTGAAAACAGGCTTGTATAAAGGCCTTCACTTACTGCAGCCTTAATTCTTAGAACAGTAAAGGTAAAGGTGAAGGTTCCCCTTGACATTTTCAGTCCAGTCGTGTCCGACTTTAGGGGGCGGTGCTCATCCCGCTTTTCAAGCCGTAGAGCCAGCACCTGTCCGAAGACAGTTTTCCGTTCTCACGTGGCCAGCGTGACTAGGGAACGCCGTTTTTTACCTTCCCACCAAGATGGTACCTATTTATCTACTCGCATTTTTACATGCTTTCGAACTGCTAGGTTGGCGAGGAGCTGAGTCAAAGCAATGGGAGCTCACTCTGTTGCGTGGATTAGATCTTACGACTGCTGGTCTTCTGACCCTGCAGCACAGGCTTCTGCGGTTTAGCCCACAGTGCTTGTATGACTTGCATCATTGTAGAAGAAGTGACATCATCTGTATTGGCATGACCCAGAATCCAAACACTTTCTCAACAGTTTGATGGCAGAAAAGGAACTGCATACTACTCCAAGGGAAGGTCTCCCTTTTTATACAGTTTTCCATGGGAAGCAAAGGAGGTCACATGTATTTCCAGACACCAAACCTTTATCTCTTTCTGAAAAATATTCTTCTGTAGAAATGAGTCATTATGAAATTGTGAGGCTTGCAAACACGAGCATTGCAACAGCATCTGCAGACATCTAGAGTTTATCCCCTGCCCAGGAAAGAACTATCCAAAGGATTACCAAAAATATTTTCCCAAGATAAGGGGGGGGGGCTGCTCTCTCACTAGCCTGGGCCTGAAAAGTTTATTTAACTTGAATAACAACAGATCTCATTGCATTCGGTTTTTTCAGGGCCATTCTGTATACTTGTAAATGGGATGGTTCCTGAAAAATCAAAGAGTCTTTTAACAAACACAGTATAGTCACATATAGCAAACCATTCCACAAAGGATTACATAGCAGTGTTTCAGAGGATTTCTCTGTATAAAAGGAAACTTCCATATTATGCCAACATTCAGAGCTTTCAGGGTCTTCCAGATGTTGTAGTACTGCAGGTGGCATATTCTCATTCTCAGAATCTGTATTCATGTAGCGCTTTCTGGGGTTGGCTATGGTTTTGGAATCCAGGTTCTCTTGATTTTCAGCCTTTGAGGATGCCTGGGTATATGGGAGCTGGTTTTCCTTGTCCTCCATCTTCTGCAAAGAGAGGCACGCTCTAAAACAACTGCTGTGGTGTTCCAGCAACCTCTGCGTCCTTTCAGACCCAGGACGCCTAAGGACATGTCGAGGCATGCCCTATGGCCATTCCATTTCTAGCAAGCCCCTCCAACCTCTCCCCGTTGTCCTATAGGTCTGCTGGGCTGGCACTGCCCTTCAGGAGCCAATCCTCAGACATCGCTCAAGTCACAGGGGATCCCCACCTCTAGGAAAACCTCCTATAGGTCCACAGTGACCTCAAACAGCCCGTACATCACCCCTCGATTTGCCCCTTCTGGAGGAAGGGGCCTGGGTCGATTTTTGACCCAGAAGTCCCAACCTTCCCCCGGAAGGGGCCTGGATCGACCCTTGACCTGGAAGTCCCACCTTAAAGGGGCAAGGCACCTGTCAAAATGGTGGTTTGATGAAGGCTACCCCCTTCTGCTAATTAGAAAGCCATTTGACCTGTGTGCAATGAGGGGCTGCAACAAGTACTATATTTTCTGCACCATAAGACACACTTTTTCACCCAAAAACATTGGGGGGGAAGTGTATGCGTCTTATGGAGCGAATGCTGTCCCCTCCACGCCACCATCGCTGGCTTCTGAGGCCTCCGGAGGCCTCAGAAGGCCCTGTGGGGGTCCCCCCAGGCCACCATTGCTGGCTTCTGAGGCCTCTGGAGGCCTCATAAGGCCCTGCAGGGGCCCCACCACCACCATCGCTGGCTTCTGAGGCCTTGGAGGCCTCAGAAGGCCCCATGAGGGTCCCCCCGCCACCATCACTGGCTTCTGAGGCTTCAGAAGGCCCTGCGGGAGTCCCCCCAGGCCACCATCACTGGCTTCTGAGGCCTCTGGAGGCCTCCAAAGGCCCCGCAGGGGTCCCCCCAGGCCACCATCGCTGGCTTCTGAGGCCTCCGAAGGCCCCGCGGGGGGGCCCCACGCCACCATCGTTGGCTTCTGAGGCTTCCAGAGGCCTCAGAAGGCCCCATGGGGGTCCCCCCGCCACCATCGCTGGCTTCTGAGGACCTCCAGGAGGCTTTGGACCAGTAAGGTGCTGCTTTTTACTTTTTAAAAAAATGTTCTGGGTGGGTTTTGGAGGGTAGATTTGGGCTGGGTGTATGTTTCTATGTTGATTTGTTTTTTGGTAATTTTTTTGCTGTCCCAGTGTGGGACTTGCTCTGTTTATTTATTTTTATTTTATTTTAAATTTTGGTATTTAAAAATTAGGTGCGTCTTATGGAACGAAAAATATGGTATTCTTATGCTGCTGTAAATTGCATAAAAGGATTTTGACCTCTGTAAATGATCTGAACATAATTTTGTGGAATGGGATGCAATTATCAGCATCTTACATTGCCATATTATAATGTTTTAAATTCATCTGTTTAAAATCAAAATCGCATCTAACACATTGTTCACAATGGCTCTTTTTAAAGTTGGAATCCTTGAATAAAGTAGCTAAGTTGAAATATTATTGAGTCAGAAGTGAGACCATTAATGCTCAGTTGACAAGCTTTAAAGCAATCCACACTTACAAAACTGTGAACAACATTTTGAATTTACATTTCTTCTTTAGGCTTTGGTGCTGGTAAAATACTATAAATGTTTGCCACCATGTGAATAAGAGGACACAAGTGGATTTATCTTTCCATATTGGCTAAAATCCTGTTGTGTAAGTTATGCTTGTGGAAAGATGCTGATATCACTGGCAGGGAGGAGATCTGTGGTAATTAAAAACTTCATTCTTCCATCCCATGGCTCCCAAGGATTACACATTACCCTTCTGAAGGTCTAAGTTAATGCACTAGGATTTTGATCAATAGTACTGTAAATTAGAACAATAGCAAAGGAGAATGCAGCTATGTTCTGGAAGCCACATGTTTGATTAGACAAACTTTTTAAAGACCTACTTCAAACAGGGTATGAAGTCGGGTATTTATGACTTTAAAATGCTGTTTCATGAGTGCTTATTTTACTTTTGCAGGCATTTGGGCAATCATTCTCAGTTCACCGTAAAGTAGCTGAAGATGGTGAGACGCGTGAGGAGACACTTCTCCAGGAGTCAGCATCAAAGGAAGCGTATTACCTAGGGAAGATCTTGGAAATGCAGAATGAGCTGAAACAAAGTAGAGCTGTTGTTACTAATGTTCAGGCAGAGAATGAGCGACTGACAGCAATTGTGCAGGACCTGAAAGAGGTAACTTGGTTAAGAAAGCATATGATTTGTAGAATGAATTGTCATTTTTTGCATGAGATATTTGGATTGGGGCCATGATGTGGGACACCAAGCTGAAGCCCTGCACACTAAAATGCTTCTATAGATAGGAGCCTTGTGGCACAGTGGTTAAACTGTTGGACTGCATCCAAAACTGTGCTCATGACCTGGGATTCTATCCCAGGTAGCCGGCTCAAGGTTGACTCAGCCTTCTAGCCTTCCGAGGTCGGTAAAATGAGTACCCAGCTTGCTGGGGGGAGGGCAATGTGTAGCCTGCATAATTAACTTGTAAGCTGCCCATAGTGCTTGAAGCACTATAGGGCAGTATATAAGCAGTCTGCTTTTTAGAGATGTGAAGAGACATCAAGAAATATCAGTCCTGAACTATTCTCTCTGTTCTGATTTGCTGCTTAGTTACGTGGTGCCTCGCATAGCGACGTTAATCGGTGCAGCAAAAGTCATTGCAAAGCGTTTTCATCGCTATGCGATTTTAAAAAGCCCATAGGAATGCATTGAACCCCCTTCAATGTGTTCCTATGGGCTTAAAACTCACCTTAAAGCGAAAATCCTCCATATGGCGGCCATTTTTGCTGCCCGGTAAGCGAGGAATCTGCGCGAAAACACAGTGGGTGGCCATTTTTTTACCTGGTGGCCATTTTGGAACCGCCGATCAGCTGTTAGAAAATCGTCACTTTGCGATAATCAGTAAGCGAAACAGGGTGCCAATCATTGCAAAGCGATTTTTACCCATTAAAACATCGCAATTTTGCGATCGCAAAAAGTTCGGCGTTATGCAATTTCGTTGTTAAATGGGGCGCCCGTTAAGCGAGGCACCACTGTATTATAGTTGCATGTTCTGTGAATTTTTGGGAACACATTTATTGTTATAATAGCATAGCCATGCTTCAAGGTTTTTATCAGAGTTAGGATAAAGGGTTGTATACAAATGTTCTTTAAAAATAAACAACAATAACCCAGGCTCATTTCCAAACTGTGTTCACTCCCTGTCTCCTAAATTGCTAACAGCAGCTGCACAGCTGATTGGCTATAATCCCTATTGCTCTTTAAGGTGTGATTTTATTTTAGAGGTCAATTAGCTTCAATGGAAGTTTTCTATCTTGCTGCTTTGAAAGGATGATACATTGTATAATGGTGCTTAACTGACAGAACTAATATTTGGAAATGTCAGGAAGCTGGTAGGTGGAATTAAGATTGTGTTGCATTATGACACACATGGGATTTCCTGTTTTTGGAGCTTAAACTGCTTTTATACAAAATATTTTTTAAAAGTCCTTTCAGCCTTTTCTGCTGTGATTAAGCATTGTTCATGTGGGATACTCAGAAGATAATTAGAATAAATGTTCTAACTTTTTCAGGTTTTCTGTTCTCCTTACAGATAATAATATAATATATATGGAAGCAAATATAAGCCTTATATGTAAAATATTGTCAAGGACATCTGAAGAAAACCTGGAAATCGAATTCATTAAAACAATGGGTCTAATTGTCAAATAAATATGTTTAGGAGTAAAAAAATGCGGTTTTCAAGCACAGCAGATGGTATCTTAACACCACTCCTCATTTGATTCTGTTGTTTGCTTACCTGAAATCCCGGAACTACATAGTTGAATGGCTAAGTGTTTCTACACTGCAAGGTGAATGGGTGGGTGGAGATTTAAGTTACTGGAATTGCTGACTCCTGGGGTGTTGCCTGGATAAACAAGGGTTCAAAGCTGGATTTAGGACCAAATTCCCAGATGTGGAAAAGATTTTCATTTTATTTAAGTACTGTAATAGGAAATGTTTATAGTCTATATGGTAGTTAGGAACCTTGTTCCCAATTATTCGGCCAGTCATTTTTATATTCTTTTCTTTGTTTGTACAGCAAACACCCAGTTAACGTGCCCCCTTTGACTTGTATTCCACGTAGAATTTAATAGGAGTTAAATTAGTCACAGTTGCAATAAGTTCATCTAGGTCTGCATCCAGCCTTTTCAGTATAATCTGTCCTTTCTCAGGGATATTGGATGAACTGTAGAGATTCTCTAGAATTCCTAGAGGTTCTGTCAAATCCATCATCCTTTGCTTAAATTGATCACATGTTTTGGCAGGAGATGGAAGCATGTAACACAATAACATTAGTTTGTTTGTTAGTCAGTTTTAGAGTTGGGAATGATACATGCAATAATAAAAATAAACAGCCGATTTTTGCTATTACTCTGGTCCATTAGTGTACAGTGGCGGAGAGTGCTAAGTATAGTTTGAAACAAAAATTCTTATTTTTCTATATGTGCAAGAAGTGAGTGCACATAATTTGTGAAATAATCAGTTGTAACTAATCAAAATCAAGAATGATGGTGCAAAAAAAGGCTTTGATGTCTGCAAGGAAAAAGCAATTGTATTTGAAATCTCATTCAGGAGATAACTATTCTTCCACATCCAGTTTTAAAATAAAGTAAATCCAGTTGCTTAGACTAACTGATTCCGTGCCAGCAGCTGTATCTGCAGAAAGTAAACGGTTTCAGTTACTCATGCCTTGTTTAAATCCAGATGGACTACTTCACAACTGAAGTATTACAAAATGCAGCTGCCTGAAATCCTGTCCTGCTTATGTGCTGTAACATTTATATACAGTACTAGATTCAGTTGTTACCTGTGCAATTCCAGGCACAAATAACCAGGTACCTATTTTTAAAAAGAGTCCCCTAATTCAAGTGGGCCTTAGAAAGCCTGGCTAACAACAAGGCCAGTGGAGGTGATGGCATTCCAGTTGAACTATTTAAAATCTTAAAGGATGATGCTGTTAAGGTGCTACATTCAATATGCCAACAAGTTTGGAAAACTCAACAGTGGCCAGAGGACTGGAAAAAATCAGTCTACATCCCAATACCAAAGAAGGGCAGTGCCAAAGAATGCTCCAACTACCGGACAATTGCACTCATCTCACACGCCAGCAAGGTTATGCTCAAAATCATACAAGGTAGGCTTCAGCAGTATGTGGACCGAGAACTCCCAGAAGTACAAGCGGGATTCCGAAGGGGCAGAGGAACTTGAGACCAAATTGCCAACATGCGCTGGATTATGGAGAAAGCCAGAGAGTTCCAGAAAAACATCTACTTCTGCTTCATTGACTATGCAAAAGCCTTTGACTGTGTGGACCACAGCAAACTATGGCAAGTCCTAAAAGAAATGGGCGTGCCTGACCACCTTATCCATCTCCTGAGAAACCTATATGTGGGACATGAAGCAACAGTTAGAACTGGATATGGAACAACGGATTGGTTCAAAATTGGGAAAGGAGTACGACAAGGCTGTATATTGTCACCCTGCTTATTTAACTTATATGCAGAATACATCATGCGGAAGGAATCCCAAGCTGGAATTAAGATTGCAGGAAGAAAGATCACCAACCTCCGATATGCAGATGACACCACTCTGATGGCTACTTTCTTGGGCTCCATGATCACTGCAGATGGAGACAGCAGCCCCGAAATTAAAAGACGCCTGCTTCTTGGGAGGAAAGCAATGACAAACCTTGACAGCATCTTAAAAAGCAGAGACATCACCTTGCCAACAAAACTCCACATAGTCAAAGCTATGGTTTTTCCTGTAGTGGTGTATGGAAGTGAGAGCTGGACCATAAAGAAAGCTGACCGCCGAAGAATTGATGCCTTTGAATTGTGGTGCTGGAGGAGACTCTTGAGAGTTCCCTGGACTGCAAAGAGAACAAACCTATGAATTCTAAAGGAAATCAACCCCGAGTGCTCATTGGAAGGACAGATCCTGAAGCTGAGGCTCCAGTACTTTGGCCATCTCATGAGAAGAGAAGACTCCTTGGAAAAGACTTTGATGTTGGGAAAGTGTGAAGGCAAGAGGAGAAGGGGACGACCGAGGATGAGATGGTTGGACAGTGTCATCAAAGCAACCAACATGAATTTGACACAACTCCGGGAGGCGGTGGAAGATAGGAGGGCCTGGCGTGCTCTGGTCCATGGGGTCACTAAGCGTCGGACACGACTAAACGACTGAACAAACAAACAAACAATTCTACTTTGTGGAAACAATCTGGAGATGTTATCATATTACTATGCTTCTGACACCCATCCAGATTTCTTAAAGTAAAATACTATGGTTGATGACATGAGACGTGACTAAGAGATCAAGGACCATCAACATGGTTGTATTCATCCTATCTCTCTCCCACCAAATATATTGGGTAAGGGTATATAGGCCTGAGAAAATATGCAGTTTCCTTCAGTGGATTTCTTTGCTTACTGTGGTTTTACATGAAATTAAGTCTTCCATTTCCCCATCCTTTAAACTAATCTTAATATCAGCTCAAAATAGTCTCAAAGATGCATCACACCCGGGCCATTCCCTCTTTCAATTGTTACCGTCTGGTAGGAGGTATAGGATAATTAAAACAAAGACAAATAGGTTGAAAAACAGTTTCTATCCCAGAGCTGCAGCTATATTGAATTCCACTGTATAGTACAATATTAATGTGTTGTGTGATGGGAAATTGAATGTGAAGGATGTGAATGTGAATGAGAAAGATGTGTTTTATGTGTAATGTGCTATGTTTTCATGGTATGGATGCTATGTTCCTGTGTGTTTTATTATTATGTGTACTGGAGATGACATTTAATTTCGTTGTATGGAAGTAAAATGCCAATAAATTCAATTCACTATTTTATGATCTGTGAAAGTCCAGCAATGGCTACTAGCTACCACTAGATGGCATTCATTTTGCATCTAGCTTGAAAACCAAACAGTAAATACTAGTTTTTCCTGAATTTTTAAAATTATATGTACTATAACAAATAAGCTTCAACTGAGAACTACTAACATAGCCATAAATGACGTGCTACAAAACAATGAACCAAAAAGAGTCAGTGCAAATAAAATTTAAAAAAAATCAGAAGTTCAGTCCTTTGGGAATGAGGGGAGTTGTACCACATCTGCAGGGACAGACACCATAG